ACTACTTTAAATCTGCACAATGAATGTGGTTGCGATTAAATTGCTATCATTTCTCTGTCTCTGTCACTTCTACTACTAAACCAAATTTTGTATGTTCGTATTTATATTTATATGCCTGACTTTTTATTATATCTGGCCTTAAATTTTAAGTCTTAATTTTAATTTTAATTAAAAATACAAATATTAATATCTTTTGTTGCTATTTGATATATTGTTAGTTTTAAGTTTACTTTGTACAAACATTGAATTTTACAAACTGTTGATGTATTATAAAAGACTCTAAAGTCTTATAGATACAGCCTCATTTCTTAAATAAATATGAAATATATGAAATATTTATTTTTTGGATCCGACACACGAAAACTAGTTTCTAGATACCTCTAGAAAGTACTTACCAAATTTGTGCTCTTAATATTAACGGGAAGATTATCCTCATCATAGTTTTTCACCAATAGATCGTTAAACCAGTTGCATTGTCAATATTTATAGGAAATTGAACACTCTACAAAAATGGTCTCATATACTCTTTTCATTAATCTAACCATTTAAAAGATATTCAGGGTCAAAGATTGGAGTAATTTATATATTTGACAAGTTCGAAAAGGATAATTGAAAACAAAAATTGTAATTAATCTTGCTCTGAATTTTTCTTTTAATTGCTACCCATATATCCATATCTTGTGTAAACTTTTAGACCAATATTATAATTTATGATTCTTTGGAAAAATCCTGACTACCTGGTAAAAAACTAAAAAACGTAGATTTTCTAAATGTTATGCCGTAATACTGTAGGTAGTATAGTAATACCGCCTTTTATAGAAGTAAAATGAGTAAGTTAACAGATCACGCGAACTGCACAAAGATGAATTTGATAACTTTGACTGCAAGTGGCACGATTTGCCGTAGTCCGAATAGCATAAAATTGTATTTAAATAGTTTTCAAATTTGTTTTTTCTTTGAGAAGGCTAATATATGTATATGTTCAATGTATCTACATTTATCTGTATTTAGAATATGTGCATGTAATTAAGTACTGTTCACTTTATCATACTTACTATATATGTATATACTATATGCATATCCGATGTAATTAGAAGCCCCATTTCAATAAGATCTCATTTATTCTTTTATTTTTTGTTTTAATATACAACAACACAAACTTGACAAACAGAAGTGTGTTTTTCGTGATAGATATTCATATAACCTTTGACACAGCTTTAACTTTTGTAGAGTCCTACCGTACTTTATTTCAAATCAACTCCATTTTTCTTGTCTCAAATTTTTTCATTAGAATTTATCTGTATTATCCTCAGTTTCACCAATCAATTCTAAAATTTATCAGATCGCTGCAATTTTAAATGACAAACTTGCCGAACAAAATTGTGTCATTTTAAGTTTTGACGGGCTGGTAAATTCAAAATTGATTGGTGTGACCCGGCATTAGTTGTGTTTCTTTCTAAAATTCGTTTCATTAGTCTTTTTTGGGTTCAATTGACAGCATTATAATATGTATTAAATTATCCAATTTTGAATACTAATATAAAAACGTAGCTTAAGTTCCTATTTCGTGTTTAGTACTAAGTACTAAGTGCATACTTATGTAGGTAGGTATTTTGCATGAAAGAAATTGTGAATATCATATTAGAAGTAGGTGTGCACTTTCATTTGTCGCCTTGGGTATGTCAAAAAGTACTTTTTATGTAATGTGGATTAATCAGCTATGTCAGGGAATCCGATTTTCTTGGTATGGAATTTGATTTCGACAACTTCTTCTTATATTCGATCCAAATTCTTGCCCGCCATAAGTGTCGCAGCATCCGAGTTTGTGGGTTTTATTATCGGAATCGAAACGGTGAGGTAAAGGCTAACGTTTGTACTCATTGGAATCGTTTATTTGAATGTATGTAGGAATGTAGGAAAAAAAAATTAAAAATATAGTTCGAAACGGTACGGTCCGATTATTTACTTGTAAATGCAATAATTTCCAGGCGTGTGACCTGAATCGAAAAATTTGAACATACATGTGTAGCCAAAATATTAAACTTTAATTCAAAACCAAGATTTCTGAGCACTAATTTATTAATAAATTCGGTTTGAAATATGGACTTTTTTTGTAAATTTCTAGGTGAGTTCTGCGCAAAAATACTGTGGTCAGCGTAGACTAATAGGGGATATTTTTTTGAAGCGCAGGCGACGGCCGTCAACGACGCAGAAAGGAATTCAACACGACAAAAAAATACTGTGGATGGCGCACGGTCTACTTTTTGAATACTCTACGCAAATTAATGGTAGCTCTTTCGATTGAACGAACAAAGTGTTCATACATACAATGCATTTTAGAGCTAATGTAATTCCTTTTCACGGCAAAATATTGCCATTGAATAATAATTACCCCCAGAACTCAAAAAAAAAATTGTCAAAAATAGTGTTTTTCGTAAAAAACAACTTACAAAAACCGCCGGATAAAAACAAAACAATTTTATATTTTATTGTACAAAGCATATAGATTTTGATACGAAAACACGATTTCACTGTTGAAAAAACGAAAAAAAAATTAATCCCCTCAATTGAAAAAATTAATTATTTCTTAAATTTTTTAAGATTTTCTTCCAGCTGTGCATGCTTGTCACAATTTTATATCAATCGAAAACAAAGTAGGTTGTAGTGATATTCAAGATCTTTAATTTGAGCAATGGAAAAAGTCTCTAGACTCTCCAAGAGCAGTTCCAGCGGATTGCTGTGAAAACTCTCAGCTGGCAGGTCAGAATGCACTCGGAGATTTCCCGCTGCCAACCGAGGGGCGACCGCTTTTAGAAAAAAAAAAACATTTTTTTATTTTTTTTTTTTACGTTGGGTTGAACCGGGCTTGAACCCAGGCCCTGTGGAATGGTAACGCGCACTGCTTACTACTACACCAGTTTACTCAAGCTGTATTTAAATTGTTTTGTTTTGCCGATTTTAACTTTAAAGCTCTTAAAAATAAAACGGTGTAACTTCACCTCGAGATCGTTAATTGGTACAAACTTTCATTCTTTTTTACAAACTATCGTGAAAGAAAAAAGACTTAAAGTGCCAACTGCTGATTCGAATATATAATGAATTCCGAGTCGGATTCTGCGACATAGCTGAATATGATACATATTTTGTAATGTTGCATTATAAGCAAACTAGGTAGGTATCGATTTAAATATTGGTTTTTGCTTTGTTCTTAATTTAGTTCACTAAATAAGCTTAAATAAACTAATACATACATTCGTTTGAAACTTTCTACGGAGACATAATCAGATTTCAAAAAACCGGAAATTCGCTTATATCTAGAAAACTATTATACTTTTTTATATTTTGACTTCATATTCGGGTTGGGGAGACAATTTTACGTAAATATTTAACAGAAGAATGCCACAGGTATGATTTCTTGTAAACTTGTGTTATTATTCTATGTTCCAAGACCAGTAACACAAAAAACTTAAAATCAAATCGGCGTGGCCATATATTGCTAGAATTTTTCAAGAGGTGATAAGATAGGTATCTACTTATCTGTCAAAGATGCAATTCAAAGGTTGCCTTTGGTTGGTGCGTACTGCCACTTCGTAGGACCTCTTTTCGACTCCTGTTCCTGACAACATCTAAATTAGAAGAAGTTGTTTTCTTACTTCGCTTGCCCCTCGGCAGGAAATGGCAAACCACCGAGCATATTTCTGCCATAAAAAGTTACTCATCAAATCCATTTGCCGTTAGGAAACTCTCCCTTCATTTGCGTAATAGCAGCAAGATGCCTAAGCGCTAAAATATTATTACTTATTTAAAGCTCTAGAAGGGATGTATTGTTTTTTTTTCTTGAAATTTTGTGCATCAATTGCAGACATTGAAAGGATGGTTATAGAGCAAAATAATAGCGATACATAAAAGGGGTGTGGCACCTTACAGACCAACTGAATTTTTCATACTACATACAAATCCCAGGGGCGACTGATTCTCATGAGATATGCCATATCATGATTCAATAATACAAGGTTCGATAAACTGACAGTTGTCTCTCTCGCACCGCTCCCTTAGCAGTGGCACCGTGTTGCTTTGGTGTTAAATAAAGGTATAAGCTTTTGTGCAATATGTTTATTTGTATATGCATATGAAGCATATTTAACTGATGAAAACATAAGCATTGGATATTTACATCAGTCTAATAGTAGTCTTATTTTAATTTTGAGTCATTTTGCAGTTTTTATACGGCTAAATAGCATATAAATTACGTAATTCACGTAGATATATCAATATTACGTTCAACATTTCGTTTAAAATGCTAGATTTCCTGCAAATACATTAGAATTTACGAAAGGAATTTCACTTCTAATTGACTACTTTGCGTACTTTTCTACTACCATTTTCGAAACAAGGGATTGCATTCTTGCCCTTTCTCTGTCCTTCGTAAATGCAACCTTTTGTAAGGGAGTGTCAAACCGCAGCTGTCAATAATTATCTAACCTTGTATTATTGAATCATGATTACATATAAGCATTTAGTTAGAGTGTTGAAATGTGATAGTTTATTAATGCCGCGTTACTGAATTAGAGTTGGGCACGCACCATAACAACTCTACCATTCAGATAATATTGTCCATAATTTTAAATATCCTAAACACCTTAACCGCGTATAAAAATAAGTAAAATGAGATCAGAATTAAAATGTTACAACATGTTTAACTTAATTTGAATATACGTATGTGCATATATATAAAAACGTGGAGAGAGAGCAGTGGGTATACACATAAGCTGGTACATACAAATGTATGTACTTTATTTATTCTTACAAGCTATACGATCTCACTGACAACAACCATGAAAAACCATCATACATTTCTTTTAGCCATAAACCAGCCAAGGCAATTCGAGCTCCCAACAAAGCATCCCTATACATTCAACCTTTACAGTCACACAATGGCCACTGTTCCACATTGTTCTTCACACAAACAAGCACACATGTAGCTACTGAAGAATAAAAAATAAATTCGGCATTGATTTATTTATGCCTGTCGTCGTCCAATGTTCGCACTTATCAACAGCACAGCGGGTAGCCACACGAACAACAGTTGTATCCAGTCGAGCGTGGCATCCATGCCTCCAACGTAGAGGGACGTCGCATGGCCCACACTACAAAGCGCATTCTCATACTGACGGCAGTTGGTAAAGTGCTTTTCATCCGATAAAGTTTTAGCAGTATCACGTGCAAATTTGGCCGAGTTCTTGTAGCATTTGTAGCGAGCACTGTTGTAAATACAATTTTCATAGGCATGTCGGGCGCTGCAAGAGACAAACGAGTTATGTATGTATGTGAATTAAGGGCTTAAAGATCTATGTAAAAGCTTTTAATAAATCAAACAATGCAATGATTGGTCATAATTGTTGATCGAAACTGTAAAATTGAAAACATGCACAGCAATCGCACGCACACCCACACGCACATATGGTTAACATGCATATATGTGTAGAACTTAATCTCCCAAGCACATCAACTGTACTCGTATTTCCACATGTGCATGCAAGAACTTTTAATTGGACTTTTCGCCACCTACTACAACTCCATGTTTTTGCCTCTGAAATTTTCGTATCGCTACTTACCAGCAAAATTCCATGAACTTGTTGGTAACATTTGTTTGTTCGCCATGCAGCTCTTCAGTAAGAATCTCCTGAAAATTGTGCGTACAACGCATCCAGTCATCCTGTATATAACTGAAGCAGTCTTTGTGTTGCAAATAATCTGTAAATACGTACAAAATTGGATTAGGGAACTTGAATGTTGCCACTTATGTTAGAATAAAGTCAGCAAGTGAGCATGAACCATTTTACAAGCTTTTATTTAGCTTGCTCTGTATGTATGTATGTTTAATAGGGGCAAATCTTGCAGTAAATTTTTGACTAACTTCACGATAACCTAGAGGCTTGAAACTTCACAGTTGGCTGAGTTAAGCCGATAGTGGGCGCAGGACCCGATATATTTGAAAACCCTGTATTTATAATTCGATTTGGTATAAAAATGAGCATACATTTTTTTAGAAAATGGTATAATCCTTGCACCGAAGAGAATTACAAAATCGACCTTAGTTTTCTGAAGATTAACTTTATGGGACAATAAAACAAAGAATACAACTTAAAAAAATAAGTATATATCATTCATTTTTTCACGCGTCTTTTTGTGAAAATATTCTTCATATAAATACACTTAACATTATAGTCGAAAGGTTGTGACAACGAACCAATATTATATATATAATGTTTCATAAACCAAAGTACTCGTACCAATAATACAGAAGAATCGAAGAAGCGGTCGCCCCTCGGCAGGCAATGGCAAACCTCCGAGTGTATTACTTCTGTGAAAAACAGCTTCCCATAAAAATACAATCGCCGTTCGGAGTCGGCGTAAAACGATAGGTCCCTTCCTTTGTGTGTCAACATCAAGGCGCACGCCACTAATCGGAGGAGAAGCTCGGCCAAATACTAACATATGCGTAAGCGCCAATGTATTATTATTAGTATTATTATTAAGTAGAAGAATATTAAGCACGACTTATGGCTCCATAAAAATCGCCAAGATCTTCTCCGACTCATCTAAACGAGGTTTTAGACAGGGCAATTCACTCTTCTTCTTTTATCTGATAATGGAAAGCGTAACGTGTGCGGAAAATTTGAATCGCCATAACATCACATATAAGGAAAGCACAATGCAATGAAGTTGTATTTCCTGCAATATAAAAAACTCTTCGCTATTGGGACACGCGAAAGAAAAAACCAAAAAACAAAGTGAAAGAGTAGTCTACCTATGAATGAGGACAAGACAAAGTACTTCCTGACAACAGATACAAAATTTTCGCGTATTGGAACACGCATCCCTGTTGGCAGTTATCAAATCGATGGATAAACAAAGCAATTTTGAATGTTGAAATGAAAATGTGCAATAATTTTTGGTATGAGATAGAAGCGGGAAATAATGTTACTCATACGCCACACACCGGGCCATTCTCCTACATCCTCGTACATGGCGTATGAGTATTGTGACCAACTATGGCTCAAGGAAGTAAAGGAACTGAAAAGCAAAAATAGTATGAACAGATGAATTGCAACGGAAACGAATTTTACCACCCCTTATTAATTTACAGCCCATTTAATTTTGTATTAAAACGTCGCCAATTCAAAATTATTGTAGCATTCGGAATAACAATAAATAGGTCTTGACGCTGGCAAAACTTGGTGTTTTCCTAAAACAGGATTGCTTTATACATAGGCATACGTGGTATTGAGTAGAGTACCATCTTGCTAAAATACCGAAGTTAAAATTAACGACCAGAATAAGGGCACTGCAAATATAACATTTCATGAAGTACTTGCGTAAGTCAAATAATGTGTCTCTAGAAAAAAGGATGCAAATTTTCTTGCTATGGAATACCCCGCTTTTCGAAGATTATTACTAGTTAAACTTTATGCAATAACAATATAAAATTGTCGTATTAATAATTTTCTCTTAAAAATAGTTGTAAGAATATTATAAATACGAATATTTCATTTATATTCAACGATGTTTTCTTCATTACTATTGGCAAGGCACATAAATACAGGTAGAAGCCAAAATGACGTTGCTCTCATGAGAACCAAACCTTTAAACTTCAACTTGATTTTATTTTATTTCCTATATTTCGTTACGCTTTGAATGTCATATCGTTGTTTTTTTTTTGAATGTTCGTTAATAACAAATTTTAATTTGCATTTGAATTTTTGTAGTGTTGTGCGGTTTATACTTAGTGTATGTGTTAAAAATGCAACACCTGAAGCGTTGTGTTTTATGTGGTGTTAAATATAAGGCAGATACCACTAATTTTTTAACGTGCCTCAATGTCCTTCGCGTAAGGAACGTTGCGAAAGCAGCTGTGGGCAGAGCTGCAGTGAAATGCCTTGCTGTGCGTTAAACATTTTAAAGAAGTAGATTCCACAAATACACCGGGAGGTACAGGAAAGGCACGTTTGAAGCCAAGTGCTGTTCCTATGACCCTTATGCCGAAAAGTCCCTCCAACAACACTGCAACTCATAAAACAAAAACAGAAAACAACATACACGTTTTTTCAAATTTTAACTAAAGAAAATAAATAAATAAGAATAAACTTCAAATATACTTAAAAACGTCAACCAGTGAAATGTATTTTTTTATTTTTCCTTACACACGCTCATTTTTATTTTTACTCTCCCGAAAACTTTGACTTTTGTAGGTTTGATGTCAATTTGGCTTCTACCTGTTTTTATTGTACCATGACTATTGGGGTGCTTTTAAAATCATATATTTTTTATTTATTTATTTTTTTTTTATATATATTTCCTTTTCGAATTGCAGTTTAAAACCCACACCAACGATGTTCGAAGTCAGCAACGCTAACCGCTGAGCTAAGTACTCTGTATGTGTTTTATGAGAACCTTTATTAACTGGAATTGTTTTACGTTTTAATATTTCTCGAAGCAGTTAAAGAAGTCTCAACCTAAAAGGTAGTACACAATATTGCAAAGAAGTACATTTAACTGTACTGCGAAATACGAAGTACAACGGCTCTAAAAGAAGTATTGTACTTCCGTAAGAAGTACGGTTGGTCCCATTCCGAATGAGTACTCCATTTTTGAATTTTTAGGGTACGTTCACACACAAAGAGAAGCCGAGCCGAGCGATGTTGTTCCAAGCTGAGTGAAGCTTTGAACGTGAAACCTATGAAAGTGTTCATACGTCAAGCTTTTTCAGAAGCGTTTTGGGAATGAAGGTAATGCAGTTTTTGATATTGACAAGATATTAAAATATTCAAATAGAAAAAAATTCAGTAATTAATCTTTTGAATAAAATTGAGGAAATATTTTTTCAGTTTCTGTATGAACGCACCCTTATTCATTCGTAATGCAAACACAAAGTTTAAATACCTTGGAAATATGGCCTGTTTAAGAAAATCGGTATACAGATTCATAATCTACGACCTAATATTAAGTTTACGTGTTTCGGCGTGTTTTGTGCCACTTTAGCGTAAATACAATAGGGGTATTCACGATCCGGTGCATATACTGTCTAGTATGGTGCATAGACAGCACGCCTGGCTAATTTTGTTGTTGTTTTAACACACGAAACAACAACAGTCATGCTATTTATGCTATCTATGCACCATGCTAGACCGTATGCACTGGATCGTGAATATCCCTAATGTAATTTTTTATATTCCAGTTGTAATTTATACAATTTGTAAGCAATAAAAGTAATGACTTATGTATTCCTAAACATTCGCAACTCACACTTTCGCTTTCCGAAAATTCGTATTCGGATTCGCGAATGTGAAATATGTATATGATATTCGGAACATCCCTGGTGCATACATACATATGTACATACTCGTACAATGTACGTTTTTCCAAAGTTCCCTGCAGGAAACAGGGCTAGTTTATAGCTAACTTATAACTACCCAGCAGACAACTAGTTGTACCTTTTTATACCCGAGCGCACTTGTGCACAAGGGTATATTAATTTTGTTCACATAACGGTTGTTTGTAACAGCCAAAACGAATCGAGATAGATATAGACAAATGTATACATAAATGATCAGNGGTAATTTAGAGAAATACAAAATCTTCGATAAATCAGTAAATATTGAAGCTAATTTATTCAAAATTGATGCTTGCAACAATTCTTTACCAAGAAATACGTTTGTGATAAATTTTTGGAAAATGGGCGTGGCACCGCCCACTTATGATCACATATATGTATCTCAGTAACCGTTCTACCAATTTGTACCAAACTCGGTGTGGTTATTGTGCTTGCCACATATAAGCAAACCGTTGAAAATTATTGAAATCGGACTAAAATAACGAAAATCGAAATTTAAGGACTCTAATTTACTCAAAATTGATACGCCCCGGCTTACCATGTAGCCGTAGCTTTCGTTAAGGCGAAAAACATATATTTAATACGTGCGCCGGGTATTTAATGTTCGGCTCTGCCCGAACTTAGACTTTCTTACTTGTTATTACTTATTTCCTTCGGCCGTAACTAACTGCTTTTGAATGGCGATGGCCGCAAAATAGTGAGAACTGATTTCCTCTGCATTAGAAGTCAATTAATTTATGGGTAATTACTTTTGGACGCAAAATATTTCGCCTTTAATTTTTTTACATTTTTATTTATTTATTTTATCTTAGATTACATGTTTGCTTTAGAGGTATACGCCGCCGAGCCACGCCGCCGCCGCCGCCGTTTTTTGTCATTTTTCACGCGCCGCCGCCGAATTACGAAAATATCGGCGCGGCGGCGGCGGCGGCGGCGTTCGGCGCCTAAGGAATTTTGTACTACTCGTAAACAACACTATTTTAGAAAATGAAAATTACATTTTTAAAGGAGTTTTTTTTTGCTTAATTTGGGCCACTGAACATTTCCAAAAAAAGCGTAACTCAGAAAAAACATAGGTAACACGTTTTTCAATCGAAAGCGTTTATTACAGTTAAATTAGGGTCGAATACTGGTAATCTGACAATTTTTTTCCGCAGTAGACAATTTTTTTCAATACTACAACAATACTACTTTTTTATATACTACAACAACAAGAAAGTTATAACACATCTAAAACTTTAACGCAAATATCTCAGAAAGCAGTTTTAACAGAAGCGCCCTTATTGCATCTAACTCCTCAATTATTGGAGATAAAACAAAGATAAGTTGATTTTCCTGTGTATTTTTTTTTAATATTATAAACACACTTTTAATAAAAAGCAAACTCTTTTTTTTGCTAATTTTTGCATTCGTAACTTATTTTATTCTGGGGTCCCGCAGACGTATACAAGTACTAGGTGGCTGTGTGAAAATTACGTTAGCATTTCTAAGTGGTGGTCAAATCCCAGGAAGGTTTTGCTCCCGCGCATCGCAATGTCTTCTACACAG